TATATATATATAAATTAGGAATTATAAGCTTCAATGCCGCCCCCCCCAGCAATGTAGAAATGTCCCGTGTTGGACATTTAACTTAACATGATTCAGCACTAGAATATCATAGAGACCTGGTGGTTTATTTTTGTTTTTTGACAAGTAAAGTTATGGCTTCAAATGTTGCTATAGCAAGCTCTTTTCACGATTTCCTCAAATGTAAAAATCTAGTTTTAACACGATGACTTGCGTTCATCTTTTTGTTAGCATCAGCAGCACACCGGCTGGGATATGAGCAGTGATATCCTGGGCATATTGAAACCACTTCCAGTCGGCTTGAAAATGAAATTATTCGCTGATGCGATGACAAGCGCAGCATCGTTTTATTGCCTTCACAAGTCTCGGATTGTTGGCGGGTATGACACGGAAAAACTCTCTCCCTGTCACCCTCCAGTCATAAGCGACTCCTCTAATGAGGCAAGCAGGCCAATGAGTGGGCCGAAGCCACTGAAACCTCCAGTTCTATCAAATCAACTGGTGTGAGGAGAACGTATCTGGCGCCGATGTCTGACTTCTCACCTCGTCCCAGACTGAGTCCTCATTGAGTCCTTGTAGACATGGCTGCTAGACACAGATTCACACCCACATACTCAACTAACAGCTCTATTCACAGAGGAAGACTAGAGCCAATGTGTGTTTGCACACACAAGCCTGCTAACAGTTTGTGGAAATAGAAATGCTGTGACCATGAAAATGAATGAAGATTTTCAATCACTGCTACTTTTATGATCTCTTCTTTTAGTCTCTATAAGGAGCATGTTTTACACAGTTTAGCTAATTAGTGGTGCTTGCTAAGGGAAGCATCACTATTACTGTTGTTCTTACTTACAGGAATATTCGGGTTACAGTACACGCTAAGCTTAATTGACCGCATGTGTCGCATAATGTTGATTGCCACAAAAATAATTAAGAATCATTCCTCATTTTCTTATGAAAAGAAAGATTATGTATAAATGTAAAGCTCGCAATTTTATAAAACACTTTATTCATATTAATTTTTATGTTAAAACGTATTATTTGAGCTGTACATCTGTTTAAATAATTTTACTGTATTTTAGGGAGTTTTGCTTTTTAGGGTTTATTGCTTATGGCAGTTGGTTGTCATGAATTTTATTTTAGTCTTATTTATATACTGTTACAGTTTTTAATAATATTTTGAATTCGCTTGGGTTTTTATATTTTCAGGGTTTTTTTCCCTCCAGTTAGTAATTTTAGTGCTTTGACTTAAACTTACTTAGTTGCCAAGGCAACAATTCTGATTTTTGTTTAGTTTTTCATTGAATATTTAAATATTAATACTGTATATAACATTACACTTAGGCTTTATTTCAATAACAATTTTTCTTTCTTTTTTTGTTTTGTTTTAGTTAACAGTAATAACCCCATTCACTTACCTTTGTAAGCACTTCACTGTAACCTTTTTTTTTTCTTTTTTTAGAAAATGAGGGACAAGTGGAAATGAATTTTTATGGTAATCAACATCATTCCACAAATGCTGTCCATTGAGCATGAAACTCATAATAAGGTTGGATTAAGGTTAATGGTTCACAAGTATTGGTGTTTTTACTTGTACTTTTTTTTCTTCATATGCTTTCTTTTACCTGCAAAGTTGTTTTATTTTTCAACCAGCGTCTCCTGCTTCCTGTGTTTAGATTTCCTTGCTGAAACAGAGCCTGGAGATGCAGCTTTCCCAATCCCAGCATTCCCTGCAGCAGCTGCAGGCACAGTTCAGTCAGGAGCGAGAGCACCTGGGACAGCAGCTGCAGGAAATGGAGCTGGAGCATCAGCGCAGGGAGCAGCGGCTGCAGGAAGCCCACTACTGCTCTATGCAGGACATGCAGGAAGCCCGCCAGCACGACCTCAAGGTAACCACAACAAAACAATCTCCCACCTGTCTCACGCAGAGAGAGACCGCTTTGACCTGTATGCATGCTCTTTTCCTTTCACCGCTTGGCTCTCTGTTATTTGAGTTTTTATGACTCTGTGTTCCACATCCACTCTTATCTCAGCTTCAGACAACCCTCCTACAGACCATTCAGAGACTGTCTGACCTGTGCTGCTTATAACACAATTTTTTTTGTTCTGTAACAGTTTTAGTTTATATTTTAAAATGTCAAATTGTTTTAGTCAACAAAGATAACATTACATTGTGGTCAGTGTCTTGTATTATGAGTAATAATTCGATATTAATAATTAATATTATTAGGGTGTTGCATTATTAATATTTGTGACTCTGGACCACAAAACCAGTCATAAGGGTCAATTTTTCGAAATTGAGATTTATATATCATATAAAAGCTGAATAAATAAGCTTTCCATTGATGTATGGTTTGTAAGAATAGGACAATATTTGGCCGAGATACAACTATTTGAAAATCTGGAATCTGAGGGTGCAAAAAAA